GGTAGGGTGAGAGGTAGGGTGAGGGAGAGGTAAGTTGAGAGGTGGGGTGAGAGGTAGGGTGAGAGCTGGGTGAGAGGTAGGGTGAGAGGTAAGTTGAGAGGTGGGGTGAGAGGTAGGGTGAAGCTGGGGTCGAGAGGTAGGTGAGAGGAAGGTGAGAGGAAGGGTGAGAGGTAAGTTGAGAGGTAGGGTGAGAGGTAAGTTGAGAGGTAGGGTGAGAGGTAAGTTGAGAGGTAGGGTGAGAGGTAAGTTGAGAGGTGGGGTGAGAGGTAGGGTGAGAGCTGGGTGAGAGGTAGGGTGAGAGGAAGGGTGAGAGGTAAGTTGAGAGGTAGGGTGAGAGGTAAGTTGAGAGGTGGGGTGAGAGCTGGGGTGAGAGGTAGGGTGAGAGGTAAGTTGAGAGGTAGGGTGAGAGGTAAGTTGAAAGGTAGGGTGAGAGGTAGGGTGAGAGGCTGGCAGGGAAACTGGCAAGTAGGATGATGGGTTGCAGGGATGTGTGTGGAGAGTGACGGTAAGAGTGCACTCTGTGTGTGAGTGACGGTAAGAGTGCACTCTGTGTGTGAGAGTGACGGTAAGAGTGCACTCTGTGTGTGAGTGACGGTAAGAGAGTCGTGGTAAGAGAGGGCTTGAATGCCACTTATTCCAATAACTCATGATTGCCATCACGTTCACTCATGACTCGCCATGTTCACTCATGACTCATCATGTTCACGTCGGAACATAACTCACAACCGTCAAGTCATTCTAGGATTTCTTCTGTTCATTTTAATTTCTCTCCCTGACCATTTCCCGCCAAATTTGTTGGGGGGTCTTGGCGCGCATGTTTAAATTACCCACAAAACTCAAATTCAACCCGAGCCTCCAAACATTGTGCTAAACCACTCCTGCATCTGAGTGCGATCCTCACGTACGGCAATAGGGTAAATGGGGCATTAAGGAACTCCGAGCCTTATATCTGAGCGTATCTTGTGCCGTTCCCGCCAGACCAAGTAAGGCGAGCACCAAGACCGTCGACCTAATGCTTCTTTTGGTGAGTCAATATTGGCGCAACTCATCAGCTAAAGGGCCAAGCTGAATCATTATACGGACACACTCGACTACTGACTCATCTGTTTGTATCAGGAGCTTTAAAGGCCGTTAGCACCTCTGCTAGAAGACGGGAATTGGTCAAATACAAACTTGTCAGGAAATTCAAAAATTCAAAACGAAGAGGATTCAAAATTCGAAAAATTCAAAACGACTCCTGAGGCCGTAGAGCACTGTGCTCTACGGTGCTCAGTACTGCTCAGCAGCACAGGGGCGAGGGAACACGGCCTCCCAAAACCCCATATTAACCCCATACTAAATCATTCGGACCGTTTTATTGGTGGAGTTCTATAGTCGGGCGGTGATTGGCGGAGAATGGCCGTCGATGACATCATTTGCTTTCTGGTTGGCGCGTCCCGCCCCTTCTGGTGCAGTGCGCCCGCCCGGCCTCGAGGTGCGCGCGCATGTTATTATCCCCCTCCATCACCACCTTATCTAACCAGCGCGTACTGTGGACACCTTACAAGGCGTTCCGGTAAACCGGTTTCGATAGAAACTCGTAACACTGATTTTGAAGGTGGGATTCCAGGTGTGTGTGTGTGTGTGTGTGGGGGGGGGGGGGGGCTGCCCACTAAGGATAGGAGGAGCACGGTAAATAGGGAGAGGGGAGTTTATTGTGCACCCCATACCTGTCCTGTGAGAGATAGTGTACCTCATACCTGTCCTGTGAGCGGTAGCGCAAAAAGGTTACAGAGGGCACAAAAGGTCTTTATCAGACCTCAACGGAGATTATTACATTAACAAATTCATCTATCTAGGGGGGGGGCTGACAGCTGAGTAGACAGCGCTTCGGATTCGTAGTCCTGAGGTTCCGGGTTCGATCCCCGGTGGAGGCGGAAACAAAATGGGCAGAGTTTCTTCCACCCTGTTCATCTAGCAGTAATTAAACAGGTACCTGGGAGTTAGACAGTTGCTACGGACTGCTTCCTGGGGATGTGTGACAAAAACGAGGTCTGGTCAAGGACCGGGCCGCGGGGACGCTAAGCCCCGAAATCATCTCAGGATAACCTCAAGTAAAGATTATCACACCATATAATTACAATGTCAGCTAGTTGCAGAGAATGTTCTATTTCAAGAGCTATATATTTACAGTAAGTCATTATACATTAATGGTAGGTCTTATCGCTAATACATAATTGTTTGAGCAATGGAGTTATTACAGTCATAGGGGAGCTGCTGTTTATTATTAGTCTTCACAATACACTACTTGTGTCTTAATCTCATATTAAGAAATGGGTGCAAAATGGGAGAATCTTTTAAGAACAGTATCAATATTTGACAAATAGTGTTTTCCTAACTCAAACAATGTGGGGTTTATTATTCTACACATATTTCTAATGTCTCTCAGGTGTTCAAATTCTCTCAGGTAGTGTTCAAGGCGGTGTCCGTCACTCTCACCACAGATTCTGCAACTCTGATGCTCAACTGTTGTTTCCATTCCGAATCGCCATGGATATTTGTATCCAAGACGGATTCTCGCTATTACTGATTCTCTCCCACGGCCACCTCCTCTTCGTCCATAATGATTGGGATTGACAGCTGCAACCATGTTTTACCATCGTACAGATTCTCTGATTTGTGTTTCTATCCTCCTTTCCTCAGTTACCTTGTCACGGTGATGTTGCCTGACAATACCTCTAATTTGTAGTAGAGTCTTGGGTATGAAGTATTCAATATGGTCTCCTTCAGCGCCTTCAGCAGCCAGCACATCTGCTCGTTCATTCCCACATATTCCAACATGGGAGGGGATCCACAGAAACTTGATGACTCTTCCCTGATTGGTAAGTACTCTCACAGCTCTCTTAATTTCAGCGACTATTGCAAGATTTTCTGCCCGATTTTTACTAAGGCTTTGTAACGCTGCTTGTGAATCAGTGCAAATCACTGCACCATTAGTGTTCCGTTCAAGGACTCTTAACGCCATAACAATGGCAGTTACCTCTGCTTGCGTTAGAGGCATTGTTCTCAATACGTGCTTTTTCTTCATTTTCGCGTTGAGAGGAATTATTCCTAATTACCGTGTATGCTGCACCAGCCCTGCCATTGGCAGGATTAGATGACCCATCACTGAATATTTGATCAAATTCATTTCCAGCTTCTTTATAAATTTCCTCAAGATACTTGTGCCTCATTTCTTGTGGTGTCATTTTTTTTTCATTGCCATTTCATTGGTGATAATCCTGCACGAGTCATCCTCCCAGGGAGGTAACCTCTCTACAGGCAGGAGCTCACGGGCTTGCTCAAGCAGGTGAAGCTCTTCCAGGTAGCAGACTGATCTGTGATGCCATTTTTTGCTTCTCCTGTTTCCTCATGAAAGTAGCACAGAGCTCAGTGTTTTCTTGGCAATATCATTGTAACGAGGATCTCTGGCTATCCTAATTGCAAGCTTAGCATTCAGCTCCTGAATTCTACTTTTAACACTGGGGAGTGACAATTCTCGTAGATTAGACTTTTTGGAAGTTCTTGGAACTCCAAGAATGATTGTCATGGCTTCATTTAGTATGCTTTCAA